GCGCGCGCAAAGTGCAGTTCCAGTGCGTAACAATGGAGAATTTCACGTCAGATCACGAATGATACAAATAAAAGCAATCACCAGGACAACCCATCACTTTTCACAAACGTTGTTGAAAGAAAGTACGAAATATTTGACAACCGTTAAAACTCACGATTTTTAAAATTGAAGATGTCGCGAGGAGCGCAAATAACGTAAGTATCAAAAGTCACGTGTTTTGAATTCTAATTGCAAATTTGCTAAGCGAAAATTATGAAAAAGAATCGGTTCAAAACATTATTTAAGAAAGATTAGCCATTACTTTTTCTCATTTTTCATTACACAAATGACAAGGATACTTTTGTATCTAAAGTTCTTGACTGATTTATGCGGAATCGGACAGCAAGAGCTTCTCATAAGCTTGCGACCTTTGTTTCACAATGTCATTGCTCTTTTAGATGTGGTTTGAAACGACCTTTAAGCTCATGCAGCTTCAGTGCTCCTGAAGTACCGAATAAGAAAATTATCATCAGCCTTCCTGGCGACTTTAAGGTAACCTAAAGAACTTATTTCTATTCTATGAAATACCAAGCCTAATTCAGAATTCAAAATCATTCTTTTCTTTCAGTATGATGCAGTTCCTGCACAAGTAGTACTAAAAGGTCCTTGTGCAGCTGAATCTTGTAATGTTGAGAAACRCCAGGAGCCATGTGATAATGCAAAAGAGATCAAACAATCACATTCTAAGCTGAAAGCTGCACCAAGGGAAATACTRGTCGCCAAAAGAGGTAATTATTGATGCTTAATCATGACTCAGTCTAGTAAACTAATTTRGGTTTGACAAAGCCCTCAAATAAGCTATGCAACGAAAACTTAAGAACGTTTTTCAATCTTTTCAGCCTTAGAASCACTAAAGAGAAAGTTTTTCTCTAAGTATCAACAAGGTGAAGTTATTGGAACAGGCTCTTTTGGAGAGGTGTATGAAGGAGTCAGGATTAAAGACCAGATACCAGTAAGTAGATCTTGATCATGGTTGATAAAATAAATGCATTTTCTGAGTGACTAATTGGATTGATTGGTGAAACTAGCGTTAAACTATTGTGAGCTGCGTCGGTGTTTCTAAAGAAACAGTTGTGTAAAAGATAAATTTAACACGGTAGAAAATAGGTGAAACAACTTACTAAATTTGTAATAGTAAATTTATCAAGTAAATTTTTAGTAATTTGTTTCACCTATTTTTATAGTGTTAAATTTATCTTTTTATACATCTAATTGATGGATGGATGACATCAAAAATACAATCAGCATGCTTATAAGTTTTGTATTTTCGCAGGTTGCTATCAAATACATGTCCACAAAAAATACCGCAAAAAAAGTAAAGGTCAGTAATCAAATTCACTAATTAACATTATTTTCTAGTGTCTTATAAAATAAACTATCCTGACAGCTGTCAGCATAACTTAACACATTTCTTAAATCTTTCAATCTGTGTTTTAGATCGGACCTACTCGCGTCCTCCCCGCCGAAGTGTATTATCAGCGTCGCCTGAACCACCCTAATATCATTAAACTCCTGGAGTATTACGTGTTTGAGGGCAACCACGTGATGGTAATGGAACGTCCACGTGACTGCACAGACCTGTTTGAATACCTATTTAACAAAGAAGATAATAACATCAACGARCACGAGGCCAGGAAGATCTTTCGTGAGGTCTTGGATGCAGTAGTTTACCTTGATAAACAAGGCATCGTRCACCACGATCTCAAGTCTGAAAACATCTTGCTGGACTTGAGTAATGGCGGGAAAGTAAAACTGATTGACTTTGGTCTTGCATGTCACGTGACAAGTAAACCAATCACAGATTTCTTTGGTAAGTAAGGAAATTAATAGTCTTCTGCACGGTTCCCTGCGCCATCTTGAAAGGTAGACGTGCGTTTGAATCGAAGCTAGACAAGCTTTGAGCGTGCATGATAGATACWTGTGAATTGTCTGTGGGTGTGAAAGAAGGTTTCTATCATTGCACAATCAATGGTTGTCTCGCTTCGATGCAAAGGMGCGGCTACCTTTCAAAATGGCGCAGGGAACCRTGAAGAACACTTTTGCAGCGATAGTGMAGTAACGAAGCTGGAGTTGTGGAATAACCTGCTATCTGTTAATTAACATTTTCACGGATTTTTTCAGGAACACCCGAGTTCTGTCCTCCAGAATATCACACTGACAATCAATACGACGGTCGCCAAGCAACCGTGTGGTCACTAGGGTGTGTCCTCTACGATATGTTAACTGGTGACTTGCCATATAAGGGTGCAGAGGACGCTGCAATTGAACCACTCAGGATACCGAGTCATCTATCACAAGGTGAGTTTCACTGGACATATGTGATATAGAGGATATTACACGGGCGCGYGGAGATACGGATTTTATCTTTGAGTGACTTGAAAAGATCTTTTTTCAACACGAGAAGATAAAATTCGTATCTCCAAGCGACTATGTAATATTCTGTTTATCATATCTTTATATATGAAAGCAAATTATGTCATAAAATACCTTTTATCTACTTCCAATATATATAGAAAGTTTGAATGTGTTGTTTTCACTAATTATAAGATAAAACTATCTCAGGGCCTATTTAATTGAGATAGGGTGCCCCTACGTGGTAGGGCTAACTCCCCTGATTTCTTTTACCTGGAAGATTGAAAACAAAAGAGTTCGTCTCTACAGCTAGGGGCACCCTATCTCATCTAACCAGGGCCTCAGTAATGTTTCCCTAGGAGCTACAAACACTTTTGTTTTATTACAATATTTTTAACCAAAATAWGTTTCGTTTCATCTCTTAGATGCTCGTGGATTCTTGGGAATCATGCTCGATAAACGAACTGACTACCGCGCAAGTCTTAGCGATCTGCTTATACACCCCTGGCTGACGACACCTTGAACCACACCCTTGTCAGTTGGCCAGTTAATTAATAATTGTAAAAAACAATATCTAGAATAATATATAAATAACATTCGCTAGTGTATTCATGATTATTGTAAATAGGTTAGTATAAATAACGAATTAGAGAATTGTAATAATATTTTTAGTAATAAATTCATTGGCAGTATATATACCGGCTGGATTTCTTGTTCTACGCAATCGTATTCTCAAAATATCATTCAAGACATTAGAAAGATTTTCATCCAAGCCTCGTTCGTTCATTCTTTRCGYTGCTTGGAATTACATTATGGTGTGATTCAAATTTTAGGTTTCCAATACGAGTGCYGTCTAATGAAARCAACATAGGGCAGGAAAACAAGCRACTTGTTCGTGACTTGTCCYTCGGGAAACKCTCGGAAACCAAACGTTTCGATACAATGTCGAGCCCAGAGTATTCACGGCTAATGTCAGCTGACGCTGTATTGACTTCCGCTGGATTGCAAAAGTGCGGGCTCTGAGAACAAAATAGGTTTGAGTCCCAACTCTTAAATCCCACTGCAGGCAAGAGGCCTGGGGCAATTCTATTTGTCCGTCAATAGTTGGGAGTAAACTCAAAATTTGCAGAGTTTTCTCTTGTAACTTGTCAAATGTCAAATGATCAATCCCTCTAATTATTATAATAAATCCAATAAAAAATAGAACTATCAAGGTGTACATCAAGAAAAGGAATGTAACAAGTAATGCGCAGTAACGTCATTGTTTTAAAATTATTTCGCCTGAGATGACGCCTTCGTCCTGCTGTAAAATCGTTCCCCAAATTCGCTTTTCTCCAGGTTGTCTCCACGGAAATGGCAGAAAGCATAGATAGTACCCAATTCAAAAAGGATTTTAAAGGATGTTTTTGCAATTCCCGCGATTCCCGACATTCTTTGTTGAASAAATGGTCTGCGTCAGCGGTATTTACTTGCTGGCTCAATATGCGCACGCGGAGATAACGTCATCAGAAATTAGTTGTTARTGACGTCATAATTCTAATGAAATTCAGTTCTAATCAAACTGCGCCAAAAAAAGGACATGAGTGACACCACAAATGATGATATATTTATTAGTAACCAGGTATGGAGCTATATAAGTCTTGTAGAATACAAATAGAACATCGACTATGTAAAGTCCTGCGCGTTACATTGACAATTTCTATGCGACAAATTCGTTTTCTAAAGGATGGTTTCAGTTCCTAAGATTATTTCTATAGCAATTTGCACGCCGTTTAAGAACCAGTAATCAGCTCAAGACATGCCATATTGTTGAGAACTAACCGAGACTGCATGCACAGGCATGACGAAATGTAGTCAAACATTGCGATTTACACCAATCACCTTTTTGCAAGATGTTGTAATGATCGCGTCATAGGGAGATTTCTTAAAAAAAATAATGTTTGTAAAAGGCTTTATTGGAGGTAGTTAAAAGTTGTTTTTCTTCACTCGTGGCATATCTTTTCAAAGTCCCAATTCAACGTCGGCGTCTACTTTGGAACCCAAAAGTCACTCAAAATCGCTTTATAGTTTGTGATGAAATATGCCACAGGGTTCCCGACTGCCGCTCCAGCCATGGACATCAGATAGCCAAGGAACACTAGTTCTAAGCTCCTCTCTTAGTAATTAATCTTAGACATTAATCTAGCTTTAAAGGAAAGGTGCAACCTCATTCCCAGTGMACTCTCTGTAGCTATTTTCAAAATGGCGCACGCTAAACCGGATTCCCCGGCAAAACRCTGATTAACACGTGATCAAATACTCTAAAGTTCATGCAGCCGATCGCAACCAGCAATCAAAATAACGGTTATACGAATCTGGTCGAACAAACCCCGAGTGATAGCCGAACATAAATTAAAAGTAAACATTCAATGCAAAGCGGTATAAGGATCSCGTCTTTATTTGCCAATCACAAAGTGCCTTAGTTCAGCGTTTCAACGGGTGTTCGCTGTAGCGTCCGCCATTTTTAAAATAGCTACACAAAGGTCACTGGGAACAAGGTTGGGAACAAGGTGATGGG